TTTGTTAATATATATAAATCTTTGCAAAATCCTTACAAAAATGTGTGCATATTCTCTGTATTACAGTTACACACACTGCCCATAAAAGCCTTTACCCGACCTTTATTTTCACAATCGTTGCTCATAGGCATATAATTACAATTATATTTATTAAGTTCTTAAGCAGATATTAACTTACTGTAATCGTTGGTTACAGATACATACTTCCAATTACTAAAATGCTTTAAATAAGGAAAATATCACATTAAATTTGAAAAATTAATTTTGTAACTATTACAAAAATGTACTTTTTATATGACCTTCTGGTCCCTATAATTATATTTTATAAAAGTTTCTACTTGCTCTAGAAAACAAAACATAATGTTTGATTCCTGTACAACAAAAATTAATCAAGTTCTTTGAGATCATGTTCAGAGGTTATACACAAATTGAAAAGTGAAACATTTACATCTATGCATAAACTAAACATGAAATACAAATTTTAAAAAAGTTTCTGATGTCGAGAGATTAAGCTTTGAACACTGCTATGCAATCAAAATCGTAATAACAACCTTGTATTTAGCGTATATATATTAAAACACTCAATCGATTTCGAGGGCAGCTAAAGGTCCCTCCTCATCAAGAGAACGAAATTACTATAAAGGGAAAAAATGAAGAAAAATAAAGCATTGGCAAAGAAGTATCAGAAACACGTGGTCGTTATCAGCACCACACGTGATCGTAACCGGATTTTGATTCAGAGTTACACTGGCCGCCTACTTTTACTGAGCCAGGTTATCTGATTAAACATTTGCCGCCTACTTTTACTGAGCCAGGTTATCTGATCAAACATATAACACATAGACTAAAACGCAAAAAAATCAGCGAAGTCAAAAAATAGGGAGCGAGGGGCAAGTGCACCTTCACACACAAAGTCTGAACCTCGAATAAATATTCTATTCTACTGCTATGCAAACTGTTGCAAAAAGCATTTATTAAGTTTTTTTAAAAAAGATCTTTTTGGCAAAATCATATAGAATTCATGTTTTAGAAAAATAGCGGCAAAATTCAGTATGGGCCCCAAACCAGTTCATAACATTATTTCACTAAAAAGTCAAACATTTAATCTGCGCATAAACTACAAATAAAACATAAATTTTAAAAAAAGTTTCTGATGTCGATAGGTTAAGCTTTGAACACTGTTATGCAAACTGTTGAAAAAAGCATGGATTAATATAATTTTTCTTAAAAAGATCATTTTGAAAAGATTAAAAAAAGAACTTTCAAAAAGATTTTTTTAGCAAAATCTTATAGAATTCATGTTTTCTAAAACAGTGGAAGAATTCAGTATGGGCCCTAAACCAGTTCATAACATTATTTCACAACATAAATTATAAATGAAAACGATTTCTAGTTTAATGAATAAGAAATTCATGAAAAGCATGATTACTAGGACAATAATTTAAAATAATAAAAATGCACGAGAATATTGCCTCTGAATGGCACAACCACTTTCATTCTGCAATGAGATTTTTTGTTACTTTGTAAATATTAGCTTATAATTTAAATTACTGTATTTAGTCATGTATTCCCCCCTTTTTACCAATTTTATCAAACAAAAATGGAGAAAGAAAAATTATGTGAATAATTTAATTTCTGAAGATCATGGTTACTGTAAGGGAAAAAAACCAATCAAAAGTATCCATGAATAAATTACCGGTACCTATGCGTGAATACCGTATTTGACGGCATATAAGACGCACTTTTTTCCCTAAATTTGGTGTCAAAAAAGTTACCTGCGTCTTATACGTGAAGGTAATTGCATTCAATAATTGTTTATTTGGCTTTTACGAAACGTGAGAACTAAAAGAAACCACGCTATTAAAACATTTTTTCCTTGTGTGTGGCCGTCTAAATAAGGGTGCGCCTTATATGCCGTCAAATATAGTATTATTTATTTGAAAGAAACCGACATTTCAATAAGAATACCTAGTAATATTAACATTACAATATCTAATAAGATATCTTCATTTCTACTTCTCTTCTTCTTTCTTGAATCTCCCTCAGTGTTACTGTTGTCGACAACTAATCCCCCGCTTATTTAATGTTGCAAACTGCTTCAATTGCTATACTCTGCAAGTTGCTGCCATCATCTTTGTCACCATTCAGGCTTTCATTCCACTTAGAATTTAAGAATGCTCATAGACAAAAAATAAATGAGATGACAGTGATGAAAATCAGAAGATAAATTAAATCAATTAAATTCAGTAGCTCATAGAAACACTGACATATAAAATTCTTCAATTCTTGATTAATTTACAGAAAAACAATGAAAATCAATCATACTCTGATGTTCACTTCTCATGGAATTTAAATATGAAAAATACCTAAACAAAATGTGGCAAATCACTATTTACTGCCTTTTTATTTACTTTTAGAAACCACGATCTTAGTCCAGAATTTAACAATAAAGTTAGATTATGATATATATAAATTAAATAAAATTTTAGAAATATATAGATTTCATCATATTTCTTACATTACATATCTCATATCCCTGAGAGTGAAACCAAAATCTGAGAAATCATTGTAAACAGAAGAACTGAAATTTTCTGCAATTCCAAAATACTGAAGAAAAAAACAGAAGAGAAGACTATAGACACTTTTAGTTTTATTAAGAGTTTAGACACTAAAATTCCAGAAAAGTCACTACTTTACATTGGGTCAAGTACAAGAAATTTCAAATAAACAATTTCTTTTATAACAACTCTTAAAAAAATCACAAAGCATCTAACACTGAAGTAATTTACAGGCTAATTGTGGCACTTTTAGATATAATTGTGGGATAATAATTTGAAATTTAAATTACAACAAAACTGAACAATAAATTAATGTTAACTTTATAGAAAATTATGCTTTTAAAGAAGACATGCAAATACATTTCAAAATGCACAGAGTTTTTCACTCTGTTCAGGATTCACTCAGAGCTAAAAAATATCACCAGATTTGCCTAACAAATTCATTAATTTTGTCAAAAGGCAAGCCTTTAACAATTCAACAAACTTTTGCAAAGAAATGAATTCCAATTATCCGGACCTTATTGTTATCGGTGGAAGTAAAGTGGCTCTTAACATGATAAAGTTTATACAGATTATTAAAGCTGAAAGACAAATTGTTTTTAATAAGTAGAAATCTGATTCTGTTGACTTTTTTCCACAATAAATTAAAGCTTTTTAAAATACTATCATTTGTCAGATATTTTAGAAAAAACTGAACGATTTAAACATCTCATCAGGTAATAATTTTAACATATTTAATGTTACAATATAAAATTGAAAATTTTGTTAAAAAGTGACCATACGGAAAAATACAGAGGAAAATACATCTTTAAAAATAATTACAGCTATAGACATTTTATAATAGGAAATTACATTTTCAGAGATTTAATTCTAAAAATTAAAATTGACCAGTTGAAGTGTCTGGAGACACAATTTCAAATATAATTTCCTTCAGATTTTGATATTGGGGGGAGGACATTGAATTCATAAACCATATTCAACTGAAATGATTAATGACAAAATGCCCAAGAAGAATTTACTGAGTTATCAATAAACTTGTGTTTCAGAAAAAGTTATCAATCAGTTTTGGTTGTTGGATTTGAAAAGATTTCAACATTTTCTGAAATAGCTTTAAACACACTTCTAACATTTTGTACTGGCAATTTATATGCAGTACAAAATGTTAGAAGTGTGTGCATTTTCAGGATTGATGTTTACAAAATCAGATAATTTGTTAACTCTGCAAAACGCTGAAGAAGCTCTACATCCTGCAGTATCAAATAGTCATCCAAGGTATGTAAAAGTAAACAAATAGAACAAGTTTATTAATATAAATGTTAGTTGTCTTTAGAATTGTGAAAGTATATTTGTACGTTATATCAAAAAAACCATTTTTGAATAAATTTTTGTCATGATTTGTTAGCAACAGCAGTTTTAATCCTAGTTTATGTAACTTCAGAGCCAGTGTTGTGAAAATATTTCCTTGAGTAAGGAAAGGTTTGAGAAATCTTGCTCTAGGAAAAACATTTACAAGTACACAGAATTCTTTAAATACTATTAAGTAAATCATACTTAAAAAAATTATGAAAAGTTTAACATGCCATTACATAAGAAACAAATTATGTATGGATACCATAGATTTCAATTTAATTGCAAAATTTAATTTTTCATTTATAATTCAGTTTGAACTTTAAGTATCCAGCTATATTTCTGAAATAACAATATCAATTACATGAAAAGATTTTACAGATAGAAATGGTAATTAAAAAAAAAAAAAAGTCTCACATAAGAACAGTGTTTTTAACTACAGAAATCCATAAGCCTCACACATTTAAAAAATGTACATTTTGTGAGCCAAAAAATGGTGTTTGACTTTTAATTCTACCTCTAAAATACATTAAAATACTCAGATACATTTCACATTTCTACAGCTTTATTATTAAGCTTTAAGAGAGGTTTACAATTTTTACCATGTGGAAACAATAAGGTAGAAATAAAATAGTACATTATGCTTCCTTTTTTGCATCTGTGTTCCCATATTTAGTTCTGAATCTACAGTGATGAGAATGTGATTTCCTAGCTGTGTATAAATCCACCACACAGTAAGCCTGGTATATAACTCTAGAAGATTACTTTAAAAATATTAAAACCTCATGCAAGACAAGGCTAAAAACATAAGTGATATTTTAATAACTAGGTCTAAGTTCTTTAATAATATATAAGAAACATTATATCAAAATATCATGTACTTTATTCTCAAAACCATTAATGTTGATAATGAGTTTTTTTATGCTGAATCAAATGTGCAGATTGACGAAATGTTTTTTCGCACATATGGCAGGCAAAGGGTTTTTCACCGGTATGAATACGTACGTGACGACGCATGTCTGCCTTGAACCGGAAACCTCTTCCACAGAGAAAACATTTAAATGGTTTGAGAACATCCTCTTGTATACTAATTACATCAAAAGAACCACTGTGTTCAAAATCAGCAGAATTAGATGGAGCTTTGTTTGTGCTTACTCTGTCACAAAAAGGTTTAGAACCAGACTGAATTAGTACTTTTCCACTTGAGAATGCTATTTCAGATCCATACATGAAACTACCTAAGAAAAGCAAAAACTAAATAAAATAACTCGGCATTATACGGTGCATATAAATACCAAACTTAATGTCAAAGGAAATATTTAAGCACTCTAAGGAATAGTGCAAATACTTCAAGTGTTATAATAATTCAACTTTTTTTTTTTTTTTTTTCAAAATTTACATACAGCATTCAGAATAAGTCTGAAGAATATCAAACAATTTTTTATTTTTGCTAATATTAAAAAATAAATTTCCTGTAATTTCAGTTGATTTATTACTCTGAAAACTTCAAATTACTATACAGGAAATTTATAACATTTTAATTTTGAAGTATTCACATTGCAAGGGAGAAATTTATTACCAGCTTGTGATTTTCTAGGTTTGCTTTCATTAGCAGAAACTGCTAATTATATATTATTTACACTCAATTAAAAGAATAAATTATAAACTAAATATTCCTTTAAGTATAAACAAACAGAACAGAAATCTTTCTGGTTCATAGATGCAAATGAGAAGACTTCTTTTTCATATATGAAAAAGGTTTTCTAAACTTCTTCGAAGTTAAAAAATTAGGTGATATGTAAATATAATTAATGCTTTTTTCTAGTTCTGATATATAAACAATATGCTAATAAAACTATATATTATAAATATACCTCAATATAGAATAATAAAAATGATTTTTTAGAGTACATTTCTTTACCAGAACTATTATTTGTTACATAATAAAAAAACTGGAAGTATTCACAAGCAAGCATATTTTTTTTAGTAATACCAGATTTGAAACAAATGCATTTTGTTTTCCAAAATAAGTATTACAAGCAAACTGAGGAATTAGCCATGGGAAGCCCTCTTAGTACCATCCTGGCAAATATCTACATGCAATATTATGAATCAAAATGATTTGAAACTTTAAACTTCCTGGTATGGTTCCGCTACATAGAAAACACTTTTACTCTGTTTGATGGTAATAAAGATGATTTAAATAAAGTTCTTTCAGCAATGAATTTCACTGATCCTGCTATTCAGTTCACTTTTGAACTTGAGACATGAAATTCTCTTCCGTTCCTCGAGATTTTGGTCACACGTTACACATCCAACTTCAGTACTACTGTTTACTGTAAACAGTTTACCTTGGGAAAACAATACGGAAGGAAATAATCTTCATTGGTTTGCCTTCCACCAAAGTTCAAATCATGTCATCCAACTAAACAAAAGTTAACTTCATTTTATGCCTTTTTTTTTCCCGTCCGCACTTCAAGTTTGCTCCTCCAAACTGGGTCTTAATCAAGAACTAAGTTATTTAAAAGCAGTAGCAACTGACAGGGGCTTTTCACCCATTTTTATTAACCAAGCAGTTAAAAAATTCTCAGCTCAACACATCAAAAAGCACACTCTTGTTTTAGGAGATTATAAGAATTCTGTTGTCATTTCTTTCTTTCCATCAATTGGCTATAAAATTGCACGTACTTTACAGAAATTTAATTTTCGGGTTGTTTATTCTCCCATCAATAAAATTCCGAGTTCCATACTCAAGGACCCATTCCGGATATGAATTCCTGGGGTATTTACAGGATTCTTTGCCAGTGTGGTTTAATTTACATTGGTCAAACTAAAAGAGACTCAAAATTTCGAGTTAAAGAACATAAAGTTAGAAAAAAGAAAACACAGAAGTCCTCCGTTGCCCAGCATTATTGATCTGAAAATCACACTTTCCATTTTTCTGCATCCAAAATTATTCAAAAAATATCTTCCATTGGTAAATTAGATTTTCTAGAGACCTTTCACATTCAAAAAATATCTTTCTGTTGTATTTAACGACCCTGATTATAATCATCTTTAACTTCAGTCATTAAGGAAATTATGTTTTAGTTTTCTTGTTTCATCAACAGATGGTGCCAGTAGCTTAACTCCTGTCCAGCCATTCTTATCTTATCTTTTCACTTAATATCTCGTTCGTTTGCACTCCTGGCAGCTGAGGAAGCTGGTTCGGTAAAACCATCAAAACTAGTCCTGTAAAAATTTGCAAATATATGCTGATTTTTGTTGTTTGACATCTAAATTAACACCAGATTTGCTAGAGTGCACATTTTTGCTTTTAAAAGATTTCTGTAAACATGCAGTTTCTGGCTTATTAAAAATTATAAAATTTATTACTTTTCTTTATAAATTTTTCAAAAAATATTTAGAGTTAATTTATACATTATTTTTTCTAAACCACTGAAAATAAATGAAGCACTATCACTTGCCAAAACTTATTTATTACCTTTTCTGTGACAATAATGAAATTTTCATCACGAAAAATCATCATTTTATACCCTTTTTTTATTTTGATTATAAAAAAATATTAGTACATTTTATGACTAAAATGCAATAAATGTGATCAATTTTTTTTAAATAAATAAATAAGATGACAAGACAGACTGGTTAATAACTGGGAAACTACTGACATATCAAATTAATAAAAGCATTAGGCTGTAACAATATGGGGGGGGGAAACTTTTACTACATCAAAATTTTATTCCTTCATTATTAAGTGCACATAGCACAGCAAAAGAATATGATATAAGTAATAATTCTCACATAATTTACTTTCAGCAAAGATTTCCTAGTTCTACAGAAAAAAGAAATTAAACAATTTTTTCATATTACCTGCAAGATCCACCAACAGACAAAACAACACAAAAACTGCATTTAGAGGAAAGCAAATTTCTCCATACTTCTGTAGCAACAAATTTGAAATTTACTGGTAAACAACAATAAAATCTCACAATAATTAATTACACAAGGAAAGGGATCTATTGAAGGGATCAACAGACACAAAATCATAGTTTCTTCTGCTAATGTGATAGTGATACAATGAAGTATGCTTTCTTGATGAAAGTAAATTGTTTTGTATATGTATTTCTAAGAAAATACTAAGTCACATAGTATAAAATTAACAATATGAATTACAAATATTGTGCTAATGATACTAAATATCTATATAATGTTCTAAATAAGAGCTTGGGTTTGAAAATTTTACTGAATATAATAATTAATAGCTAATATACTTGGAAATATATTTTAAAACACAAGCTTACAATTATGATACAAAAATGAACATGTCCTTAATTAGTACTTAATTTAAGCCTACTTTAATACTTAAATTAAGTTTTAAAAATTATGTATTTAAGTACAGTCTATAGAATATTATAGAAGACAAAAGAATTAGGTGGTATTTTTGTATATAATAAGTAATAATAATTAATTTATTTAAAAAAGAAATATTAAACAAAACTTTCTTTAAATCATTTTGGAGCATATTGTCACAAATATGTTATAAATAATAATGGCAGAACTTAAATAATTAATAGGATAAATGTTAAAAAAATATAAACGGCGTTTTTAACACATTTCATTTAAATGCAAGTCTTTACATGAATTTGAAGACACTGAAAACATTATAAATGCTTTACATTATACACAAATCACAAATCAAAACTACATTTTTTTTTTTTTTTTTTTTTTTTTACAATGTACACAAATCAAAAATAAATTTGTCATGATTTTATTAAAACAACTGTTAATAGACAATCCAATAGCTCAGTTTGAAAATTATCAATCAACTATTCCCAGAAAGTGCTTTGAATAAACAACAAATAAATTAAACAAAATTATACATAACTATTCAATATCAGAGCATGTACACAAACCAAATTATTTACTGGTTTCTTTTTATTAAAGTTGCTACCACACAACACTTTAGCAATATTCAAAAGTTATAAATTTGTGAATTAAGTTTATCAAACTCGGCAACTAAACACAGTGGCTATTTTATTAAACAAACACCTATTTACTGTATAAAACACATATAAAAATATTTAACTAACCTAGAAAAAGCTTTAATTTCAAATTTAAAAAAATCTGATGTGTACACCACATGACTTTCTTGTACGGAATATTAAATTATACACATTTTTTCTTGCATTTCATTTAAACTTATTGGATTGAATTAAATCTACTTCGCCGACAGCGCATAAACCACAATACAATAAATGCATTCTTTAAAATTCACTCTAGTATTTGTTTACCATAGCGGCACTCTGGCGCTAGATTCACTTAAAAATTATTATTTTAACTAAATTTGTATTACTGTCAGTTTGCACGCAGTGCTTCAGTACAAATTTTAAATTTTCGGAAAATACAGTTAGTTTTTTTCTTTATAAAACAAATTCTTACATACTATTAAGTAAAATAAATCAAGAAAGATAATCATCTATGTATAGAGATGACACACTGAAAATTTCATATATGTATGACCGAAACAATTTGACTTATTAAAACTCGAAAATCAGCTAAAATTTTCACTTTTTGTGTTGCGCAAAAGTGACGACTCCCCTCCAGTATTATATTTTGTTCATATTATAACTCATAATGCATAAAATTTATATCATTTAAAGAATAGAATTATCTAATCGTTGGCACATATTCTATTCAAACACTATAATAAAGTTAGAATGATGTATAAAAGAAATTAAGCAAATAAAACAAAAAAGAAACAGTTTTTCACAGACGATTGAGTATTTCTTATTCAATTAATTCAGTTCTCACTTCGCGAGAAGGCAAAAATACATAAAAACTCAAAATATCTATATTAAGAATTACGAAGTAAAACTTAAATACTTATTTCTTCGAAAAAATTCCAGAAAGGATTAAACATAATTTAACTGGCAATAATAAATGAGGGTTATCTTTGTTGTTGCGAAGCTAAGTTTCTCCAGATTGGCAACAAATCCACTAGTCTGCTGTTTCAAATGTAAACAATCAATGGCCGCCATAAAAAAAAGCTTAGCGGCACTTAAACAACTTTAAAATTGTTGATAATTCTAAAAATATTGCATACAGATTTACTAAAGGCATAAAAAACTTAACTGGAAGATAAAAACAACATAATTCAATCATTTTTAAAACAAAAAATGAACAATTTACAAACATATACGAGTAAAGAAACTGAGATCACTGAGCAGGATAACAGAGTGGATATATATTTAAATATATTTATATGCGTTTGGTGCGGCCGATTGCAACCAAAATACAAGGTGCACATCTACATGTTATAGCAGTCCTATATACAAAATTTCAACGTTCTGAGGCTACTCGTTTTTGAGTTATGTGAGATACATATGTACATACATTCGTACAGACGCCACGAAAAATTCTCTTCAGAATTAATTTTAAAGCAGTTTTATAATTTTTTTGGAGGAAACGAGTCTTTTATTCTGTCCTTACGTACAGATATCATGGAAAAACATCGTTAAATTGCATTCGATAGCAGTCAAAATGGATATTTTTGTTGAAATATGTCGCCTGAAACTTTACACGATTACAATACTTCCTTTTTACTTCGTACAAGGAAGTAAAAATGATTAAGTACTTCGATTTGACTTAAATAAAATGTCAAATACATTAAGATTTTTATCAGCTACTTTAATTAACATTTCTATCCTATATCAGACTTAGAAAGATACTTTGAAAAATGTTTTTTATTTAATTACATAAAGCTTTAATATGTAACAAATTTGAAAAAGGATAATTTGTTAAGTATTGAAAAAAGTTAGTTTGTTAGACACCTTCTAATGAAAATACACAGTTGTTTTAACCCAAATATTACATACTCAACATTCTTTTAGATCAGTGATGGCCAAATGGAAGCAAATGGATTTTATTTAATACAATTCTTTTTTTGCAATATTAATTAATTTTTTCAATAAAACTTCTTCAGTAGCAATTTTTAATTGTATACTTGAATCTTTACAAAATGTCTGTTACATTATTCAGATCTCTCATGGGTCTAGCATTGTAATGTTGTACGAAAACCACGAAAAGAAGATTGAAATTCCTGTCCAAAGCACTTAAGACAGAATTCGAGTGTTTTTACACAAAGAATCTCATTCTCAGTGCTGTTAAAACAAAAATTTAGAACATATGAAAACAGAAACACGCAAGTGAAACATAAAATTAGCAATGCAACAACCCTGAGTTTGGAGCAGATTCAGTCAAGATCTTAATCGATTTTGAGGACAAACAGGTATAGGTCTCACTTTGTCAACAACTGAGAAATCTGCAAGATTGGAAAGCAGTGATGTTAATGCCAATGATTATAAGTTATGGAATGCCTATGGTTTAAAGGAAAGCAGTGAGTGAGCACAATGGCCGTATTTATATTTCACAGTATTGGGTCTGCAAAAATTATTCAAAAAGCTTCTTCAACTGGTGAATTGGATTTTCTTGAAGCTTTTCACATTCACAAAGATTTATCTTGTTTTGTTAATGACTTCCTATCCTGCACTTCCTAATTCTTTTAAAATTCCATTGACTTAATTTTTAACTTTCTTTACTATTTTTACTGATAAATGGCACTACCTTCTTATTTGCTTTACTCTGGAGTATAAATGCAATCATTGTGCTCATTGCTTTCTAGTCTTGCAGATTTCTTTACTGCAGATGAAGAGGGACCTGCACCGTTTGTTGCATTGTGGATTTTATACCTAAAACATATGCCTATCTTTTGATACTTTTGCAATTGATGAACGATTGCAGTAGATATGCAGCTTGTCATTTTTTCAAAATGAAATATTACCTGGATTTAACATTAAAACTGAATTGGATTTCAAATCACTGGAGATAAAATTAAACAAATTTAACTATTCATAATAAGTGACATGCTAACCACTTTAAAAAATGTAATCTTTCTTATCTTTATCATTAAAATAAAGCTAGAACTTTGATTTTAGAAACTAAAGTATTTCTTTTTTGCTTTTTGAACATGAAAAGTTATAAACAGAAAAGTTTCAAAATATTATTAAAAAGTTCATTATCATTTGAATTTGAAAAAGAAGGTGTATGCATATATGTAAGATAAAAAGCATGTAAATCAAAATTGTAATTTGAATCTGCAATAGCACCCTTTAATTTAATTTAAATATTTCTCTTCTCCATTCTTTTCATAATGATGAATGACATAGTTAATTTGGAAAATTAAAATTCTTTTTAACCCCAGGTCTTCCTATTGGATAATGTACTTATTTCTCATTTCTCCTGCTAACAATTGGTCTCTTTAAAATTACAGTTTAAAAATATAATGGTACTAATTTATTTATTTATTTTTTTTTAAAGCACTATGGCACTAAATTATCTATGCTGACTTCTTGGAATACTTAGTTAAATAAAAAGAAAAAATTTAAATCTGCTTTGGCTGAAAATTTGGTCTTCATTACATATCTGCATCCATAGGATTTTAACAAAAGTTTCCAACCAACACCAATATTGTCTGCGCAAAGAGTTTGCATTGACATATTTAATCACATTTTGCAAACAATTTTTGGCATTTGAAAGAAGGAGATTTGCTTTAAAACACTGTGTTGTGAAATTTGTAAAAAAGTATCGTTATCATGTAAAAAAATATCATTATAAGCTGCCAGAAATGGAAGTATCACGCTACCAGATTAGAAGCACCATCTATTTCCAGTTCTGTAGCAAAAAGTCAGCTACAGAATGTCACCAAATTATGTTACAGCTTTAGGTACTAATGTCATATCATATGACACTGTGAAGGTTTGGTACTGAAAGTTCAAAAACAAGGACTATGACATTCAATAAGCATAGCGCTCTGGCCGGTCTACTGATGTTCATGAGGCCCGCCTGTGAGAATTTGTGGGAGAATATCAGTGTACAACCACTTGAGAGCTTGCTAAAAAGTTAGACGTTAGTGCCGTGTCCATTAGTCACGTTATGCAGCACATAAACTTCAAACAGATAAGCTGCACTAATCTGCTCGAATATCAAAGCAGGGATAAAATTTTAAACCGGATCATCATTTGGGATGAAAAGTGGATTTACTTCAACAACACAAGCCGAAAAGGGGGGTTGGTCTGCGCCCGTTGAGGCTATTGGCAGCATTACAAAGTACAATGTGACTAACAAAAAGATCACACTTTATATCTGGTGCGATTACAGTGGTTATTATCTAAAAAGAGTATTTGGAAAAAGTTAAAACATTCTGTTCAGCAAGATGCTAGTCTGTTGACGCAGTTATCAAGGAAAAATGTCGAACTGCATACTGTTGCAAAAAGGTAATGTTCCATCAAGATAATGCAAGACCACATGTGTCTACATTCACTGGATGGACTCTGTATGAACTCAAATGGCCACACACACCATAAAGCCCTGACGTCATTCCTTTGGACATTTATCTTTTTCCACACCTGCAGCTACATCTTGCTGCTGCTATGTTCCATTCTGCACAGGACATCCGAAATGATATTGATCTGCTTTTGGACTCGCAGCCACCTAGTTTATGGGCCAAAGACTTTGAAAAACTACTAAAAAATTGGCAGAAAATCAGAGATTTAGGTGGTGGTTATTACCTGTACTGAATTTACTGCTTTCATGTTTTTTTACTCCTAACTGTGGGGGGAAGCTTTCATTACAACCAGATATTTTCAAAAAATTTTCTAAATTATTATGCACACACATATAATAGAATAATAGGAGAGGTGTAGCTGTTTAACATGAGGTGTTTATTTGTATCATAATTACTCGTAGAGGCTTTTATGGATTTACAGATGTAGATGTAGATTCAATATAGTTTTATTTCATAAAGCCATGGTAAGTATAAACATGTTTACAAATCATCATTATGGGTGGCATATGCACCCTACGATTCTGCACAGCTTATACCTTTTTAGACAAAGGAGTGTAGTAGTGCAGAGTAGCAGACAAAGAAATGCAGAGTAGGAAAGCAGGAAAACAGATGCACAATTATTAGCAGCAATATTTATAGACTTGGTTTAAAAGACGCAGTCCAGAAAGTTACTACAGTACAAAGTCTGTAATCTGCACGTCCATAATCCGGACCTCAAAGTTACAAACTTTATGTGCATGCGTAAATGCATAATGTGTAATTAAACATGCATGCGTTTAATGTATAACGGACGGTATAAGCTAGTCTAAAATTAACTAAGGCATTTCAGTTAATGCTGCAGATTGCGCTATTCCTTAATCTTCTAATTGGATCTGGCTTATTATTTTTTGCAGACTGTTAAAACAATTTTATAAAAATTAAGCTTGAACTTTCGATTATGTCAAAAAGAGTTTCCAATTCTGCAGCTGCCAAAGGATCTACAACGTGAAAGCATGGTTCGATGTTCATTAAACAAAAAGTGGAATTGCTGCAAAAAATGGATAAAGGCCTATCCGTCTCAAAATTATGCGAGAAGTATGGCAATATAAAGTCCACTATATATGACACAAGAAAAAAGAACTTTTTGAATTTTTTGTGAAAGCATGTTAAACAACTTACATAGAAAGAAATGTTTAATAAAGTAATCAAATAAATATTAAGCTTTTTTTGTAAATTTTGATACCCTTTAGATCATAATTGATTTTTATTTCATAAATTATGATTTCATATTTTTAATTGTTTAATTTCTGCATGCCATCTTACCAGATTTAAATTGATGATCTATAATCCGGAATCATCGAAGTCCCGACGAGTCATGGATTTCGTACTGTATAACTTATTTTTACTTTTAGAACTGAAAAGGGAGATAGCCAAATTAGAATGGGAAATAAAAAAAGACAATTGCCAATCTTACACACATGATTATATTTTTGATGGAGATGAAAACAGAAAGGTCAGAAATATGCAACCAAGGTGGCATAAATGGCATTATAAATGGACATATAAATGGCTTCTGTTAATTTTATTAATCCTATAAGGATTAATACTATCTGTATTAGAAAATGTTCTAAGTGCAGACTATTTTTAGATTATTCATTCAGATAAGCAATGCACTTTTCTAACACAGAACGTAAATAATAAGCATTATACCCTTCCAACTCACAATGATTTCCACCACTGCAATTTTGCCTGGATAAAAAATTTACTTTACATGGAGTATAACAATATTACTTGATTTCAGGAATTAATTTTTTTTTAAGTCCAGTTCTTTGAGAATAAATTTTATGATTTTCTCAAATTGCAACTGGCCATCACTGGTCTATATTTATGAATTATTTGACAATACATTTTGAGGAACCAGTTAGAGAAATGAAAGAATTCTGATAAAGATGTTGGTAAAAATGATATAAGATAAAACATTCGTAATTCTGTACAACTAATACTAAAACTAAAATCTGACATTTAGATTAGGCTAATAAAATAATGCTTATTTTTCACTTTGGAAAAATTAAAAAATACAAATAGAATTCTAATCTGGAAATTTTAAAAAATGTAATAGGATTATAGTAAAAAGAAAACATATTACATGATATAATTATATTGCACCAAATTAATATAAAAGAAAAAATTTCTCTACAATATTTAGAAAGAACAGAAAATTACAAAACTACAACAAATATCATATACAACAAAAGACACTAGTGATGAACATTATACAGTCAAAAGTCTTTAATCCGGACTCATCGGGACTTCGGCGATTCCGGATTATAGATCATCAGTTTAAATCTGGTAAGATGGCATGCGGAAATTATAAAATTAAAAATATGAAACTGTAATTTATGAAATAAAGAGCAATTATGATCTAAAGGGTAAAAAAAAAAAAGTTTAATATTTATTTGTTTACTTTATTAAACATTTCCTTTAACGCGCGCATGCGTAAAGCATACATTGCACATAGTCGAAATTAGAAAATTGTAACCAGAAAACTAATTTGTATTCGTGATATTTATAATGACGAGGAATTTGATTTTAAATCATATCAAAGACGGAGTACATCGAGATGAAATACTACATTATAAGCCGAATAAAATAAAAACATCTGCCCTGAAGATAAGGATAATGCTGACAGATCAACTTCCAGTTCATTGCGTGCCGCGAAGTCCTCCCCCTCCCGCACAGAGCAGCATGAAATTGATAAACAGATTTCGGAATGGTTACAGAAACAAAGGAGCCATTATCCATTTTTTGCAGCAATTCAACTTTTTGTTTGATGGACATCGAAACATGTTTTCCCTTTGTAGACCAGCATCGGAAATTCTATTTGGCATAATCGAAAGTTCCAACTTACTTTTATAAAATTGCTCTAACAGTCCGCAAAAAATAATCAGCCGGTTCCAATTCGAAGATTAAGAAACAACGCAATCTGCAACATTAACTGAAATAGATAATTAGATAATTTTAGCTTAGCTTATACTGTCCGTTATACATTAAACGTGCATGCGTAAACGTATTATGCGCATGCATAAAGGTATTACGAGCATGCTTCAACACAAACTTGCACTGACGCATGTGCAGAAAGTTTGTAGCTTTGAGATCCGGATTATAGATCATTCCGTATTATGGGTGTCCGGATTGACGACTTTTGACTGTACAACCGGATATTCCGCTATAGGATGATGGGTTCTTTTATGCTGAGTTACATTGCTCTGTTGCCGAAATTTCTGATTACATATATCACAATGAAAAGGTAGCTCACCAGTATGAATTCTCACATGCCTCTGAAGATTAACTTTTTGTGTAAAAGCCTTACCACAGACTGTACATTTAAATGGTCGTCTTGCAGACTGTACATAATTAGGTGGCAAAGCATCATGTAATTGTTTTGAACTGTAAGTGTAATAACCATGATGAAAAACTTCAAATGAAGTGGTAGTCTGCTCTCTAAATCCATAGCGAACTTCTGAAGAAAGTGTAGTAGAAACTATATTCTTAACAGTGCTTGGATTATCTGTAAAACAGAAATGGCTTTAGTAAAATCAAAAGCATTTTGTGTTAAACTACAAATGAAAATTTCAAAAAATTCCAAGCTCTTTTTTAACATTTAAAAAAAATTAAGAAAACAAATACAAAACTCCTCGTGTTCCACAAAATATTTTATGAGGCGTATAGATAGTGTTAATAAATAACTTACAATGTAAGGAGATACAATTCAACAATAAAAACGTAAACAAACATTTTATTAAAAATATATGATCCACAACATTTTAGTTGTGCATACAAAAATAAAACACAGTAAGAACTTTGACAAATTATTTATTGCTTAGTTTTCAATAAATAATCAAATAAATTCTGAATATTTGAAAGTTTTAATAACAGATAATATATTAAATTTCAATAATTTTTCTAAACATAACTTTACACAAAGAACTGTAAAGATTATACACACACAACAGTTAAAAGATATTAGCAACAATTAATATTTTTTATGCTAAGTTAAAAAAATAATCTGAAAACATTCACTTTTGTCTACTTTTTTACTTAAAATTTTGTACATAGTAATGATAATTTTCTTCCTGTACAGTTACAAATAAATTGCTGCAATATATCAGTCCATTTATTGAAGAACAAAAATGTTGTTACAGAAAAAAATGTTAAAAAAAGGGGGGGGCAGCATCTTAATAAGTACAAAAAAAAAATTATACAAGTAAGCCATGTACATAATATTACAATGATGCATTTCTTATTAGTCATTTCTTTGAAAGTGTAACTGATTTTATAAATCTGTAATCTCATCTTTAATTTTATGATAAAAGTCAGACTATAACACTGATATGTATAGTTAGAATGTGATCAATTGTACTTCAGGAATAAAAATTTCATTTGACAATACATTTTGGCGAAACAGTTGGAGAAGTGAAATCATATGATAAAGATGTTAGCAACAAATGTAGAAGATAAACATTATGGTCAGTATAAATAATACCAAAGCAAAATTTGATATTCAGGATGTCAGCTAATAATACGTTTAATCACTCACTTTGGAAAACTTAAATACAACTGGAATTTTAAAGAGTGCAGCATACACTTATTCATGGCATAGTTTACATAACATAAACTTCTTTTATTCCTAAATTATAAATTATTAACTAATTTTGCTCTGAAACACATTCTTAAAACACTTGGAAATGTACTTTAAACATTTACGATAAGAAAAAGGTTGAATAAGTTTACACAAAAAAATATTAATTTGAAATTAGTAAAATATCTTCATCACAAGAAAATGTTTTAATACACTAATGTAGTCTTACTTCAATAATAATATTTTCTAGCAGTTACAGGAAAATATACCTACTTCAACAAATCAAACAATCATTCAAAATTAATGAAGTTAATAAAAATAAAGACTAATTAAATTTATGAATGCATATGGGTAAAATTGGCAATAAACTGTAATGAAAAATTAGACAAACATCAATCTTGGATTGGTACTGATTTTATACACAATTTTATCGATTTTGAGAATCAAGTTAGAAGCAATCAAACAACAATGACATTCTGCACTACATTTTGGTTAACATAAGCCATAAATTAAATAAAGATAGAAATGGCAACATAATATATACAGCCTCATAGAAAGAATGGCTGTTTATATGCTGGCTGTCTATATGTATGTTCCAAAGTAAACGCAAAAGATAAACATTCATAAATAAAAACACATGTAATTATTTCACTTAACAGTTACAGAGTGATTCATTACTAACTGCAGATGGCAGAATTCTACAACAGTGATCTGTTAATATCAGAAGTAAATAAGCCAAACAACTATTGTAAAAGGAATGTGCAGTGTGTTTTCAGTGCTATCTTTCCCTGCAATGTGTTCTCAGTGCTTCTAGCAATAAAAAAAATGCAATTCTATTTAATGGTTTTCCAAACAGTTTTCCAGGATGGATATCTTAGTTTTGAGGAGAATTTAATCAGTACTCCTTTTCATTTAGCAATTGCCAAACCAGGCAATCACTATTGATTACATTTGTTTAGAGGGAAAATGCTGAAAGCAAAAATATTACATCCACATGATGTTATAACATGGCTACTCACCAGATTGAACTAAAAAAAGTACGGTGTATTTAATTATGGCAAAGCACACTAGGGCTATCTGCCTAAGGGGAGGGATGCCTTTCGTGGAGGACTTTCTAAGGGAAACTGGCTCGTATACACGTTATACATGGGGAAAACCACGAAAACGCCCATGCAGCCAGCCCGTTCGCGGGATTCGAACCTCGGACCGAACTACCAGTGTTCAGCGTCTTTACCACTCGGCCGCTGGTGGGCTGAACTAAAAAAAAAAAGTGGCTCATGGATGCCCCCATTAATCAAAAAGCCATGACTATAAAATTTACAAAACAAAATAACTTAAATTATAAATTTTATATAGTTGAAAGAAACATTCTTATGTCTGAACATTTAAAACACAGTGTAGACATATAATTTGATTTGATTCTATAAGTCATATACAAAATAAATAATACATTATTTTTATCAAAAAAGAATCCTCTGTTACTTTAGAAAAAAAAAAAATAGTTTTCAATATGATAATCAACTGACATTATAAATGAACTTTTCAGATGACAAATTTTTACTCTTGAAGATATTTGCAATAGAAATAATAATACAAAAATAAAAACAGAAGGATGATTTTAATAAAAAGCAAATCCTACATGCAAATGATTGGATTGGATTATTTAATTATAGCAAAGCACACAAGGGCTATCTGCCTAAAGGAAGGGTTGCCTTCGTGGAGGACTTTCTAAGGGAAACTGGCTCATATACATGTTACAAACCACGAAAACGCCCATGCAGCCAGCCCGTTCACGGGATTCGAACCTCGGACCGAACTACCAGTGTTCAGCGTCTTTACCGCTTGGCCGCTGGTGGGCTACATGCAAATGAAGCTCAAAACTATTTGCAACTGTGTCAAGAATAAATAATGATACTGTAACAGTGATTCTCAACTTGTTTTGCCCCATGCACCCCTTCACCATCTGCTAGAAGATAATTCTCCCCCTTTTTTCTAAAACTAGAAATATGCATATTATTTCAGACATTTATTTCGAATTAGGGTAATTATGTATTATCTAAACAACTTTTGTAGAAATTGGCAACGTTTCAGAATGCATCATATTCAGGCAACCTTGTGCATGACAATTCTTCAGTTTTAACAACCAATGTCACCATTTTGCATGCATCTTTTTTTTTTTTTTTTTTTTTAATTTCAAAGTTTTTACGGGCAAATCATGATTATGTTTTGTTTTAAACTAAACTTTAAAATATGCACTTGCAGGAAAAACATCGGGCAAAATTTCTGCAGGAGTTTTATCAATCCTTTGGCAATTTTGCTGCAAAACTGCTAAAAGAACAATGCTTCAAATCCCTTCTCAAAGCGATCGCCCCGAAATTTTCAACAAAGGAGAAAAATACTTAAATACCCGTTTATGAAAAGGTTTACTGAATTTTCTTAAGAAACACACAGTTGAAATATAAACAATTTTTACAATGAAAATTCATTGTTTTCCTCTCTGCAAAATTTACTAACTGTGCAATGGTGGTAGCACCAATACATGTGTACCTAAATTTCCTCCTAATGAATGAAAACATTGCTTTGTCTCTAAAACAACACAACTTTTTGACCGATATCAACACAAAACAAATTTGTATTTTTTCTAAATACCAGTGTACACATCTTTTAATAAAACTGCTTTCCTTTTTTTATTTTTATGTCAATTAAATATTATAACCATCACACATTAAAAGTAATAAATCTGTATATGACTGGCACAACTATCTATACACATCTGTCTCATCACACGTGCTGCTGTTAAAAAAAATTAACAAATTTCTCAACTTTATTATAAAATACCAATTAAATAAAGAATTTCAATTATTAAATGTACACTTTCGTTTATAACTGGAAAATTTTTGAACTAAGAAAACTTTTTTTAAAAGTAAAATTAAGGAAAGAAGAGATTAGTAACTTCGTTATAAATCATGAACAGGGCTACAATTCGAATCAAACAAAAATCGTTGCCCACAAAAAGTGTGATTCAGCGGCAACAATGGATAAGCGTGACATAATGGGTTGGCTTTATGTAAACCCAATTAATTTTCGATAAGTTAGTTTAATTTTTGTAAAAAAAAGATGCAAGTTATATTTTTTAACCACATTTTGAAAAAATAATTTAAATTTGAAATTTATCTTCAATGAAATGTAGTGGTGTATCATAGCTTTATTAAGAACACATAAATAATCTACAAAAGTTTATGAAACATGCTCAATATGATGTCCACCATCGTCTGCTACCATCTGAAAGGCATGTTCGACTATTGAAAGCAGTATGAACTGAGGAATGTTATACACATGGCGTTCTAGGCTTTCTTTAAGGTCGGATAGAGATGTGATGGGATCATGGTAGACCATGGCCTTGATGCATCCCCACAGCCAAAAGTCGCAAGGATTCAAGTCGAGGGATCTAGGAGGCCAAGCTGTAGGAAATTGCCAGCTGATGATTCTGTTGTAGTCGATATAGCGGCAGAGCACTTGTTTCATACAATGGGCTATGTGTTTAGGAGCACTATCCTGCATAAACACTGAGGTTGTATCACATTGTCTTGCCTGAAGAGCCAGAATAACGGATTGCTCTAATAATGAAGGTTGAATTTATTTGGTTAATAATTAAACGTTTCTGCTTCAGCTCATTTTGTTTGTTGTTACTCAATATGACTTAAGCAACAACTTAAAGTCATCAAGACTGAATCTACTAAAAATGTCTTTCATACTAAACGTACAAGATAGTTAAGATAGCACAAAAAATAGCTTCATATACATAAATATTCAAATATTATACTTGAACTGCATGAGGAAATTAAATAGCTAGAGCTAAATACATCTGGTTACAGACATAAGTTTCTAATTATTTTGCAGTAAACTCAGGAACCTAAAAGAATATGACATTGCTAGACATAATTGCATCCAGTCAATTTAATAATCAGTGCACTTACAACATCAAAAATATACATATAACGATGCCAAAATTAGCTTAGATTCTATCTAAGTATCGAGTTATTTTACAATAATCTTTAGTTCTATTGAAGACTTCATATATTATTCAGACATAACTTCTCAGACAAATGTGATTTTTTTTCAAAGCAAATGAAAGAAGCTGATAGAGAATGAAGAAACAAAAATTAATCATCTTTGATTAATAACAGTTGTAACTTTTATAAAGTTTCTTCAATGAAAAAATAAATTACAGGATAGCTCAGCATAAAATAACTACTCTCTTTCAGGAGAGGGATAGAAGAAAGTTGGATTAAATATAACAATTATAAAAAATAATTCATTAACTAAAACTCAAATCTATTAAAAATGTTAAGCTACTAAAATTGCTTTTAAAAATTGCATTTTTATGCCAGAAACTATAAACATTCCCTTGAATCGAAATCGTAAAAAACAACCTTGTATTTAACGTAGGTATAATGAAACACTCAATCGATTTTGAGGGCAGCTAAAGGTCCCTCCTCATCAGGAGAAAGAAATGCATAGAAAGAAGAAAATAGGAGAAGGAGTCACAAACACGTGGTCCTTATCAGCACTGCACGTGGTTATAACTAGATTTTTAATCAGAGTTGCACTGGCCGCCTACTTTTACTGAGCCAGGCTATCTGATCAAGCATAAAGAAATATTAGCGAAGTTAAAATAGGGAGTGAGGGGCAAATGCACCTTACGCTCAAAATCTGAACTTCAAATAATGGAAAGCAACCACTGAACGGATTTTTATACCCTCTGGTAGTACCAAACGCGAGGAGGTAACGCCATCTATCGGCAAAAATAACTGAATTAAGATAGTAGAATTTTAAAGGCATTAGGAAGGACTGGATTGGACTTCAAATCATTAACTAAAAATGCTAAATCTTTGTGAATATGAAAAGCCTCAAGAAAATCCAATTCACCTATGAAAGAAGCCTTTTGGATATATATTTTTTTTTTTTCAGACCCAAAGTCAAAATTATGGTGGTTAAATGTCCAACTATGATACGCTATTGAAGACTTCTTAATTTCGCCTTTTTTGATTTTGGGTCTGCAAAAATCACCCAAAGGCTTCTTCCATAGGTGAATTGGATTTTCTTGAGGCTTTTCACATTCACAAAGATTTAGCAAGTTTAGTTAATGATTTGAAGTCCAATCCAGTCCTTCCTAATGCCTTTAAAATTCTACTATCTTAATTCAGTTATTTTTGCCGATAGATGGCGTTACCTCCTCGCGTTTGGTACTACCAGAGGGTATAAAATCCGTTCAGTGGTTGCTTTCCATTATTTGAAGTTCAGATTTTGAGCGTAAGGTGCATTTGTCCCTCGCTCCCTATTTTAACTTCGCTAATATTTCTTTATGCTTGATCAGATAGCCTGGCTCAGTAAAAGTAGGCGGCCAGTGCAACTCTGATTAAAAATCTAGTTATAACCACGTGCAGTGCTGATAAGGACCCCGTGTTTCTGTGACTCCTTCTCCTATTTTCTTCTTTCTATGTATTTCTTTCTCCTGATGAGGAGGGACCTTTAGCTGCCCTCGAAATCGATTGAGTGTTTCATTATACCTACGTTAAATACAAGGTTGTTTTTTACGATTTTGATTGTCACATTAGCGTGTTTCTCTTCTAGTTTATTCCCTTGAAATCTACAGCATATGAAACACAATTAATAATTCATTATAGATTCATTAAAAAATTATATACAGTCAAAAGTCGTTAATTCGGACACCCATAATTCGGAATGATCTATAATCCGGACATCAAAACTAAAAACTTTCTGCGCATGCGCCGCGTTGACACATGCGCAGAGGTGTTCACGCGTGCGCGTAAGACCTTTTACGACTGCGCATATGAGTGTGCGCAAGTGCAGAATACGTTTTCGCGTGCGCATTTTATGTATAATGGACATATAAGCTAAATAATTATCTATTTCAGTTAATGTTGATGATTGCGTTGTTCCTTAATTTTCGAATTGCATCCGGCTTATTATTTTTTGCAGACTGTAAGAGCAATTTTATAAAAAAGTAAGCTTAAACTTTCGATTATATCAAATAGAATTTCCGATATATATTTGCTTAATATGTAAAGGATCTAAAGCGAAAGTATGTTTCGAAATCCGAAATCTGTTTATCAATTTCACGCAGTTCGGCGGCGGGGAATGCCTCGGCGCACAATGAATTTGGAAGTTGATCTCTCAGCACTATCCTTATCTTCAGCGGCAGATGTTTTTATTTTATTTGGCTATAATTGCCTTAACTAAATGTAGTATTTCATCTCGATGCATGCTCCGTCTTTGATATGATTTAAAACAAGTTCCTCGTCATTATAATTCGCTTCCGATAGTCGAAGAAAGTGAACAGAGGTTATTGAAAACAAAAAAATTTTGATTGACAAATTAGTCGGTGTTCTTGACACAGCAATTATAGGACTTGAACGGCGGAAACTTTGTAACTGAACAAGAAATTATGTCTGTTTAATAGAATAAAGAGAGAAAGTATTATCACATGAAACGAAGCAAAACTTAAACAACTTACATTGAAAGAAATGTTTAATAAAGTAAACAAATAAATATTAAGCTTTTTCTTTTTGCAAATTTTGATACCCTTTAGATCATAATTGTTCTTTATTTCATAAATTACGGTTTCATATTTTTAATTTTGGAATTTCTGCATGCCATCCTACGAGATTTAAAATGATGATCTATAATCCGGAAAAATCGATAATCCGGAATCGCCGAAGTCCCGACGAGTCCGGATTAACGACTTTTGACTGTAATATGGAATATTAAACTATATACTTTAAGGGCTTTAAGACAAATACACTTTTTTAAAAGTAAAAATACATTTTTAAGGAAATTAAATCAAAATTTCTGAAGGAAAAACACAGACATGCACATTCAACAGAATACAGGCATGGATTATAAACTTTTAAGTGAAATGTTAAATCAGACAGCATCTATACTTTATGTACTTTTACTCTTATGTTACTTAATTGCCCTATTTAAAAAATAATGTATCTAATACAATTATAAGCATATAAATTGCAAAATCACACAAATAATTGGATTTTAGTGAAATAAATAAAAACATACGTATATTAATGTTTAAAAACATTTTATAAAAATTCACGAATGTATAACTTACACAACTGCATATCAGTTTGTTCAAAGCGTACATACTGATAAAAAATACTAACAAAATTTCATCAGAAAAATAGAGAGTGCCCCCATATTTGCAGATAATATGTTCTAAGACTTACTGAGGATATGAGAAATAGCAGTGATACCAAAAAAAAAAAAAAAAAAATGAAAGCTTTCACATTTTATATTAAGTGCAAAGGAGCATTTTTTTTTTTTTTTTAAATTTACACATACATACACATTTCGAAAGCATTTGAGGTAAAAACATTTAAAAAAGTATATCTAGAATTTTCAATAGACAGCCTTGCGTGCTGGAGATAAAAATGGTTTATTTATTTATTTATTTATTATTATTTTTTTTTTGTGTGTACAGTACTGGAATTGAAATTGTTGAGTTTGTTAATCAAAAATTTATTAAAATTTTACAAAATATGAAATAGACAATAAAGCAAATTTTAAATTCAAAATTCGTGCTTCCAGGTGCCCATATTCAGGTTGAGAACTGTTATTCAAAATTTGAAGGCTACAGGTACTGCTTCATTTCCCAATACCAGAAATATAGAAACATTCATGCTGATTCTTCATTATTTAATTTCTTTAAATGTAATATAGGGCAATAATATTTAGTGGCAACAATTTAAAAAGCGAAACAGATGTTTAGAATGAACCAATGCAAAATGCTGTTTCGAGATTAATAGTCTTTCTGGGTCCTTTCCAAAATAAGGCATTATAAGCATTACATAAAGTAACAATAAGTATACTGTATATTTAAGAATACACATTATTTTTTATATGCACGAAAACAAAGGATTCTGGGATCTGAATCTAATCATTAACGGATGATGAAAATATACTGTACCTATATTGCTTTGTATAACATACTATGGGTTAATAAACTTTGTTCTTATTCTTCAACATTTCATAAAACTGAAGATTTGTCCCGTACAACAATTTCTCCACAATTGATTTTTTTCCCCTACTTCAATCATATCCAGAATTTTCCCTTTCTCAGTAATAGAAATGGCACCATAGGTTCTCTTATATTTATGAACACCAACAGGATCACTTTAAGCTTTGCGAACCCAGCCAATGTATTTATGCCCGTTAAGACAATATCGAGCACTGCTTTAACAGTAGTGGGAATCGAGGAAACTGAATATCTGACTGGTAATTCGTAACTTAAAACATATACTGAGACATTTATCAGGCCCCTTATTTGGTAACATCAATTGCAAATACGCATGCATGCTGGTGTTCACAATCCCAACTGATGTTAGAAGACAATACGAAACATGTTTAAGTTACTATTTTGCAATATGTTATGATTGACTATTATTTGGCAGACATCCTAAAATTTATAAACTTGTTACCAGGACACTTGTAAATCATGGATAGTATATCAGCAGATATGGAGGCATAATTTTATAAAGCAAGAATATTACAAAATCTTATTCTACACTTTTTCTGAAAACTATAACAATGCATGAGTTTTAGAATGTCTTGTGAAACTTGATCGATCAGAAAACCGTCTAGAACACATTTTACACTGATATGGCTTTTCCCCTGTGTGAATTCTGTAATGCCGTGAAAGATTGCCAGCAAATAATGAAGAGTAGTTGCACATACTGCATTCATACATATTTGAAGCACTATTAAATCCATGTTTTGATATGTGGCGAGATAGTAATCCACTGGTCGCAAAGTATGTATAGCATATAAAACACTGGAACCCTTAAATAAACAAAATACTTTATATATGCACATGTCTATTATCCATAAACAAAAAAAAAAAAAAAAAAAGATTGCTGAGAGATTTATGGAAAACACATAAAAATTAAAAAAATAATAATAGTAAAATAGGCACTTGATTCAGTAGTAAATCCATACCACATACAACAACAACAACAACAACAAAATTACATTCATAAAACTACAGAATTTTACAATTCCTAACATCTCACTGGCAAGTTAAATGTACAGAATTTATTGGTGTATTTACTTATCCCTAAAAAGATAGAAACAGTGACATCAAAAGTTAAGATAGTTTATTTGCCTATGACAGTGGAATGCATCAACATAAGACTTTTTCGATAATAGGGACTACAAATTTTCAAACGAAATAAATTAAAAACAGATAAAATGTATCATTTAAAAATAAATAAATAAAATTCACACACAACAGGATCCAAAAGTTCATAAACTTAGCACATAATTTCTTACTGTAAATTGTTTAACATACTAATCCCATAACTGCCAAACTTGAACTATGAAGAACTGTAAATTTCTCGTGCTATGCGGTTACAGCATTTCTCCAAGCTGACAGAAACTCCAGCACAACTCCAAAGTGACTGAAATTCATTTTATAATGAATGAATCAAATTAATAAAATAGTGATACTAGGATTTTGATGTAAAATATATTAATATTTAATTAGATATTTAAAATTTTGTTTTTTGACTAATTTCTTTTCAAAGTTTTTACAGTTCTAGACTTAGAAGACTTCCTTAATAGAAAAAGAAGTTTTTTATTTATTCACACCTTTTTTAAATATGATGAAAATAAAATTAATAATTAATGTACATACTACTGTGTTAATAAACATAGTAATGTATTATTTATTAATGTAAAACAAAATTATATATAAATATTTATTGATTAAATACTGACTGAATCTTCATAAAAAGCTCTAAAAATGTGTACAATAAATTATGGCAATTCAGATCAAATAAAATTTAATGACAAATTATGCTGAAAAACCACAAGGGGTAGGGAGTTAAAGCTGCACAGTGTTTCAGTAATTTAACAAATTTCATTTATTGCTAGGAAACTAGTGATTTCATGATGTTAAATTTTTTTGCATGCATTAGTAAAACTTCTAGAAAGATTGTTGTAAGTTTTGAGACCTCATATAATGCTTTCTTCAGTGCTCATTGACACAAGTCAGCATCCTTACAGATTTTGTTTCATCTCGCATTAATTTACAGTTCAAAGTGCACGAAGCTAAGTACTTCAAGGTGGTGAATAGGCAAGGCATGAAAACACAATTTCCGACAAGAAACTCTGACCTTTAAGAATTGATATGCAGGCAAGCTATGATGTAGAAGACATCGTTGTCCCCGCTGTCGCATTTCAGGACGGACATGGAGGTCAGCACTTCAAACAGTATTGCTACGGCAAACTAGTTTCATACTTATGCTATGACAGGCTGCCCAAAATTTTAGATTTTACTATCTATTACTTATAAATATATGTAGGTATTTTATATAATTTATGCTTCAAATTAATACAAAATATGGCCATTCATAAGAATTTTTCCAGTTTTTCATTGATAAAGGAGGTATAATTCCAATTTTCTACTATTTTTCTTGCTAAAATTATGAATTATGGATTTCACAGATTTGAAAATGATCTTGTTTAAGTCTTCTAAATGCTCCCCACGTATCATCTTTCAATCTAAGATTTACAGATATAAATATCATCTTTATTATTGCAATAGGGCATATGTCAAAAAAGCAATTTTTGTTCCTTTTTGGTTAATAGGATGCTATGTGTAGATGCTGATGCAAAATCTAACTAGAGAACAGCAAGAAGAGATAAGAAGCGCAACCTTTTAATGATGTACATTGCTTCATAAAAAAAAAAAAAAAAAAAGGTTATTTTATTAAATAGGAAAAGAGGGGATAAATACAGAAGCTTAAATTACATTATTTTACACCAGAGGTAAACAAACAGAACAACAATCAGAAAAGAAATGTGCAAACTTTTGAAATACCGTCTACTCTCTAACCCTTTCTTCTAAGCTATGATCCTTTATTACCAAAGCAGTTTGATACAATTTCATTTTATAGTCTTCAGAACGTCTTTCAGCACAGATGGCACATTTGTCTCAGATGAATTTAATTCTAACAGTTTGCTTTTAACATCTGCCACAATGAGTTATTCACATTGATTCTTTCATAAAAAAAAAAAAAAGCAACTGATAATGTCGGAAAAAAAATTACTTGGTGTACATTCTTCTCATTGATTTGCAATAGCACTATTATATAGCTGGTTACATCTACAACAGGTTACAACAGCTGGTGCTTTAACATACTACTATAATCAAGTTCCTGTCAAATGAAAAGTACTAAATATTTAATATACATTAATAATACTTGTGAAACACAGAAATCATTATAACTTTACAACAGCTAGCATGTTTCTTAAAATATATACTATATACAGTACAAAGTCTTTAATCCAGACTCGTCGGGACTTTGGCGATTTCGGATTATAGATCATCAATTTAAATCTGGTAAGATGGCATGCAGAAATTATAAAATTAAAAATATGAAACCGTAATTTATGAAATAAAGAGCAACTAAACTGTTCTAAAACTGTTCTAAAGGGTATCAAAATTTACAAAAAAAGAAAGCTTAATATTTATTTGTTCACTTTATTAAACATTTCTTTCAATGTAAGTTGTTTAAGTTGCTTCATTTAATGTGCTAATACTTTCTCTTTAATTCTATAAACAGACAAAATTTCTTGTTCAGTTACAAAGTTCCACTGTTCAAGTCCTGTAATTGCTGTGCCAAGAATACCAATTAAATTGTCAATCAAAATTTTTTCGTTTTCACTAACCTCTCTGTCCCTTTCTTCATGCCTTTATCCATTTTTTGCAGCAATTTCACTTTTTGTTTGATAAACATCGAATCATGCTTTCGCTTTGTAGATCCTTTGGCAGCTCCAGAATCGGAAACTCTTTTTGACATAATCGAAAGTTCAAGCTTACTTTTTATAAAATTACTCCAACAGTCTGCAAAAAATAATAAGCCGGATACAATTAGAAGATTAAGGAACAATGCAATCTGCAACATTAACTGAAATAGATAACTTTAGCTTAACTTATAGCGTCCGCTATACATTAAACGTGCATGTGTAAACGCATATGCACATGCATAAAGGTATTATGTGCATGTGTAAACGCTACCGCATGTGCAGAAAGTTTGTAGCTTTGAGGTCCGAATTATTAATCATTCCGGATTAAGGACTTTGTACTGTATAACTAAAATTTTGACCAAAAAAAATAAGAAAATAAGATGCTTATTATCAAATACTTATTTACTTTCTTTAAGAGTTGGTGGCATTTTTTAAAAATTATAATTTCCTGCTTGGATACAATTATTTGAGAAAATTTTTGAAGATTGCAATAACAAATAAGGCTAATAATTTTTGGACTAAATTTTCCCAATTTTCCAAAATAGTCTATGACAGTAAACGTATAATGAAAAGTTTTCACAAACAAAAAAATGTGTATATATACATATATTGAATTTAATTAAATAATTCTTTGCGCCATTGCTGCGAGGAATGAAATTAAATTTAAATTTTAATTTTAACAAATACATATAAAAGTAAAAAAGCAAATTTAAAGCCAAAATAATTTTTAAAAAAATATTTAAAAAAACCTGCAATCATATCAAACATGTGGTTGATATTTCCCTTGAAGTAACATATGTGGCTAGTTATATCAACCACAACACAAAGTCACACAAATTCCTGTTTTGCTTCTTTGTCATAAATTACATAATTTGTTATGTACACCTTGCAGAAAAAAAGGGGAGGACAGCTCTATACTTCCATTCTACAGGACCAATTGTCAAAATTCAACTTGCATGTTCCATGTCTCGAAGCGCAACTTTGGATACATATTAGACTTATTATAGCATTGTTCTAACATACATATTTTGATACAAAATCTGACTTTTTCTGAAATAATGTACCAATTTTTTTCCATATATCAATTCTACGACTCAAATTATGCCAAAATGCAGCAAGTTTTTGTAAAAAAATAGCCCAAGCAGTTTTTATATTAAAAGTTAGCTTCTCCATGTTAATAGAATTTGGTACATATTTATTAGTATGTCTTTTGTTATTAAACTTATTTAGTTGTTCCTTTCACATTTCAAAATTTAGGTTCATTCCAAATAAAACTCGTGCATTATTTACGATTTATTTTTAAAACTTGTAGAAAAAATTGATACGTTACTTCAGAATTTTGTCAGTCAGATTTTGTGTCAAAATACCTATGTTAGAATAATGCTATATATAAACCTAACATATTCCCCAAGTGCCACTTTCAAAACATGGAAAATGCAACTTAAATTTTGACAATCGGTTGAGTGGAACAGGAGATATAGAACTGGCACAAAGTCGGACCTTTTCTGAAATAACATACCAATTTTTTTCCATATTTCGATTTTACGATTTAATTTATGCCTAAATATTAAATTTTGTAAAAATTGATGTGAAATTTACGGAGAAATTCAGAAATTTATCTTGGCATCTTTTTTCAGTTTGTGCCAAGAATAATTCACTCGGCGAACTTCTTAATATATGGCAAACAATTTTTCTTTCCCTTCAATTGTGAAGGACCGAAAAAAAAGTCACATCATTTCTACCTTTTTACATTGTGCAAGAGCAGAAATAAGTCACATTGTTCTCCTTTCAAATAATTACAACAAAGTGCCTAAACCACATTTTAAGTTGTTATTGCTTTCAACAAATATGCCAAATTTCAAAACACATCAATATATAAATTCACATATATCTTCGGAAATTTTGAATAAAAAATTTTAATTTTTTTGCAGGTATGCTTAGAAATACGTCTACTTTAAGATAACAGTAAAAATTTTATAAAACATAATTCAAAAATTTTTTCTAAAAATTTATCAAAAATATTTTGAAATACAAATTTTAAAAATAAATCATAAAAAATGTGCGAATTTTATTTGGAATGAACCTAAATTTCGAAATGTGAAAGGAAGAATGAAATAAGTTTAATTAACAAAAAAAAGAGACATTAATAAATATATACCAAACTCAACATTGAGGAGCTAAAATTTTGAGAGCTAATTTCTTAAAAACTACTTGTGCGATTTTTGCAAAATTTGGCAGTTTGGTGTAATTTGAGTGGTAGAATCGAAATATGAAAAAACATTGGTATGCCATTTCAGAAAGTCTGATTTTGTGTCAAAATACCTAAACTAGAACAATGCTATATATAAATCTAATACATATCCTAAGTCACGCTTTTGAGACATGAAAAACACAAGTATAATTTTATCAATCGGCCCAGTAGAACGGAAGATATAGAACTGTCCCTTTTTTTGTGCAGTGTACATGGCAGAACAAAATTAATGTATCACATAATACAATATGTACAATAGATACTTTCAAATTATTTGCATTCCCACATAAAAGTAACATTTAAGTATTCATTAGGCAACATACTATATCACCAAAGCAGTCATGTGACAAGCCAAGAAAGATATAGCCAAAAAGCATTTATGTGGAAACCTAAGTATGTATGTAGCAGATGCCTATTTAAGTGTACATGGACTTGCACTTATGAAAATCTATCACTTTTTTATTGCTTCTTTTCACATGTAGAACATCCAATTTTCTTATAACAAAACTGTGGAAATTGTCACCAGATGGAAAGAGTTGCATTTTAGCAAAAATTACCATTCCATGAAGTTGTATTTCTTAAAAGCCAAAATTTAATGAAAATACTATTAAAATATGGGTCAGAAACAGATTTGAAGACAGCTGTATCTCATTCATAATACTTGTTTATGCTGTTTATTGTTGGACGGTGCACAATGCCAAACAATGTACAATGACGGTGCACAATGTAATTCTGTGATGATTTCTTGGTGAAAACAGATTGCTGTGCACATGGGAAGAACAAAAGCAGGATGGTAAGATTAATTTGAAGTTTCTGCACGATTTAGAACGAAAAGATAAAAAGCATTAATTGATTGGTGTGTAAATGAAGGTTTACTTGGTAGTTTTTGGATGACATAGGAATTCTCAAAAAAGTAAATGTCTTATTAGTGATGTTTTTTGCTTTTCTAATTTTATTCATCAATTACTCTTTCATGGAATTCTTAGTAGACTGCCATTTAAAAAAGGGCTCTTGGCCTTCATGCATTACCTTTGAGAAAAATTAGTCATCAACTTTGCAAATGCTCTTTGAAGTCAGCAATGAATCCATGACTTGTTATTGTGAATCCTTTCCAAAAGTTAGGCAACAAATTTGTGACTTTTTGATAGTGATACAGATAATCAGAAAATACTGTTTAAGATTTAATGCAAAAGTTTTGTGTTTCAAATGGCTTCCTTTTGCTAAGTTCACAGCGTCTGCTGAATTACAAGAAACATCGATAGTTTGATAAGCTTTCTCTAGTAAGATCAGCCTTTACATGTAACTCATTAAATCTTCAAATTTTTGCAAGCTGAAGTGTTACATAATCTTGGAACACACATACAACAGAAATTACTGGAATAAATGCTAGAATTGCATTGTACAAATTATACAATAATCTTGTAATGCAAATTACACTTAAAGAACAAATTTATCATACAAAAAATTTAAGTATGCTAAAAATATTGCAGAAATATAATTTAACATTTATAACTTAAAATTTGATCAAAAATTAATAAAACAGATTTATTAGGAGTTTCTCTTTAAATAAAACAGTTAGAAAGTAGATTTAAGGGTGCCCCTTGGATTATCGGTAAGTTGTTTCATTTATGGTAACACGAGTAGTTGAATGTTACGGAAACCCTTTTATGACATAAATGGTTGCGTGATGCGGTCAATTTGAACACAGGAAAAGATTTGAAAAGTGTGGTTCCATTCTGGATAAGTATGTTGTTTATGGTTTACACGGTAAAATGGCTGAATGTGGTAAGATTGAGGTTTCTGCACAATTTAGAACAAAAGGATAAAAAGCATTAATTGATTTGTGTGTAAATGAACGTTTACTTAGGAACAATTATTAAGTGGCCTGTTTTTAGGAAGGAAATGGGTATGGTTGAATGTCAGATGAAACAGGCACTACGGAGCATATGCGAATTTATGTGGTGATGCCAATTTACAGATTCTAGTTCAAATAATTTTAGGAAGTTTTTGGATGATGTTAAGGAAGTTTGTTTGCTGAAGGTACGTAAATAAGGTAAGTGTATGTTTCCTTTGTGTAGTGCTAAGATGATTTTCCTTTTTTTATGTTTTACATTATTTTATTGCTTGATTTAAAAATGTAGTTTCTTGAGATTATATATTTTTTGTTGGCTGCTCCTTTGATTTTTTAAGTGAATATAGATCGATGTGTACACGGACAAAGGGAGTGCACAATGCCTATTCTGTACAATTCTCTGATGTTAAGTGAAAATAGGTTGATGTGTACATGGATACCTAGACTGTGTAATTCTTTGACTTGTTATTTTGGATTTGCGCAG